ATGCAATTCTCTTAATAATGTGCATAACTCAGAATTGTGCAAAAGAAACTTCTACAAATCTGCCCAGAGAATTAGCTCCAGTCTCAAGACAGGGGCAGTAAGTCACCAACTCCATCAGCACTGCCAGAAGTTAATGCAAAATAAATTCCATGGGAGTTTGCAAAAATGTCAGATGACAATAATACCTTAGTGAGGCTGAGCATATTTTATGCATCCTGTTCATTAGCTGTAAAGCCTGTCCTCATGACTGGTTTTTCTCATTTGAATTAATCACACTGTACATCATGAAGAGACCTGCTGAGCCCTTCAATACATAAAGCATTTAAAAGATGTTATTAAAAATAAGTTATTCTGGAGATTTGCAATTACACATTTATTTGTACACTTGCATTTATTGCTTCTCCTACTGGCAGTCTGCATCAAGCTAAAGACATAAGAGTCTATTTGCACAGATAGACATTTGAGCCATTATAAGCATGCTTACAAGAAAGTAATGGTATTGCTCTTCTGAAAGGCTGTAAGTTTTTAAACACAGGTTATAAAGCAGCTGCTTGGCCTAAGCAGATTTGTCAAACCATTTTGTATTAAGTTTATACAGCATCTCAACTTTGATATGCATCCCAGTTCCAAAACCAGGAATCTGGAAAATCCATGTTCAGTCTACGCCATGAGTAGTGCCAACAACCTTGAAACGATGCCGGGTACTGAAGCTCCTCTATGTACAGTACGTTGGTTAGTTTGGAGTTTTAAACATTTAGGGCACAAAAAAAAAAGCCCTTTGCATGTCAATGAACCCATCATCTGTCTACTGATGTACAGCCCCTCACATGAACTAAGTATCAACATTAAGAAGAAATTCAACCTTTTGCTTCTTCAGCCTTTCTAGAAAGACACTTTTGCTAGCTTGACATTCTCTTCCAACTGATAATGCAATCATTGCTAGTTTATCTCCAGTTCTTCCTGCACAGAAAGCTCTTGTCCCTCTCTAGTGTTCATCTTCAACCTGTTTATAGACAACAGCATAAAATGTCCAGCCAGTCCTTAGAGTGAGGCTTGAGAACTGATTTGGGGGCTACAGACTTGGTTTTGTGTACAAGTCACACAAGAATCATTTCTGCCGACAGGGGTTTTCCCTCTGCTAACATTATGAAAAGCAGGTGAATAAGAGTATGACTTTCACAGCCCTAACAACCTTATGAAACTTGTGAAATACAACTAGATTTCACTGAGGCACCCACAGACCATGTTGGTAAAGGTTGACACAAGGACAGCAGATCCAAGCACTAAGTGGATAAAATGGCATTCCCAGCAGTTTTTTTTCCCCCTTCATTCATTATAAGTGCATTTTTAGAGTCACCACATAACCCTGCCCACCCTTCCCCACAGGGATCTCTGTATCAAGCCATTCGTCAGCAGAATATTGTCACATTTTACAATATCACCCTTAAATACAAGAGCCCTCAACAGGACAGTGTTGGAGGTTATTGATTTTGAACCTCTGGCAAGCAGACAGCATCCCCCAGCAGGAGAGATGCCCAAGGTCAAACACGTTCTTAAAATACACACTTTGGCTACCAGGAGTTTCATTAAGCTCAATAAAGCATCAGGTATTGACTGGCAGCACTATTTATAAATAATCAGCCTGCTGACCCCCTTTTTATTTAATGAAATTTGTTTTCTCTTGTCAGTGTCAGGTATTTTGAGTTAGCGGAATGCTGTGACCTCTCCCACGCTGAAAATGAAACTCTGTATAAAGACTGTCATAAAAACCCAGCAGTAGCAATAGCTCCTGGAAATAGCATGTATCTATTTAGGTACTACAAACAAGATGTCAAGTCTTTAAAAGCCTGAGCTATTAAACTAAGCGCCAAACCATCCATAAACGTTCACATACCACACAGAGAATGCTCTCTCCTTCATTCAGCCTCTGTAAAAGGAATAATACTATGCACAAGCAAAATATGTTATTGCAGCAGTGACAACAAGTCAGCCTGAATTAAGATGTCCAAGAATTAAAACTCTCCCTCTTTATACATTTCCTAAAGAGTTTTCTGAAAGTAGTACTTCTTGCACAGGAGCTACGATGCCCCAAAGCACTGCTGGCCCAGCCAGGGGGGGCTCCATGCTGCAGTGGCAGAGGCAGGGATCCCTCTTCTTCCTGAGCTCATTTGCTCACCTGACCTTTAAATTCTCCTGCTCCATCCATAACGGGGTAGGGCATGGGGAATCACAACAGAAAAATCCAGGAAACATAAGCTGTAACTTCAGGCCATACTATATTTAGCAGATCCCTGGTGTGCTGCTATGGTTTTAATTGCTGTTGTCAGAATATATGCAGGAGAGGGAGCTGCTATTTTATGAAATAAGAGCCCTTTACACCCAGGTGTTAATTTTGTGACTGTCATCCAGCCAGCTAACAACAGCATGAACTGTCAGGGTCAAACACATCACCTAGACACTCGTTGCCCAAAGCACTGCTCTGCCATACCTGCCATGGAAGTTGGTTGGGTTTGTTTCTCTGCAGGCACACAGCCATTCACAAAGGGGGGCATTTTCTATGTGTGCACACATATTCATACATACTATATTGCATCACAGTATTTTGATTTGCAAGTGAGCAGTGTTCGATGATGCAACAATTGTAATATATATGGGGGATGGTCAGATGCAGAGTTATTACAAGGCAAGATTTAAACTCTTTGGTTGATCTCTATTGATTTTATTTTTGCAGTTCTATTGGCCTGATAACACCTCTTCCCATTTCCACTCCACTGCTGGGCAGGAGGGGGTGCATGACTCAGCTGAGGCTGAGCATGGTGCCTATCTGCAGAGCAGAGAAAAAGCCACCGGCATCCTTGAGCGGCTGCAAATTACAGACCTCTCACTAGGGGCCCAGACTGGAGCCAGGTTCCAGATTTTAGCATGCCAAAGGCAAATACAGTTAAATTATTCTCTCATCTGCTTTACTAAACAGCTGCTGCGACAGATGCAGTCTCCAGCACCCATGGCTGGGCCACCTTGTGTGGCCATCCTTACTGCCACACGCACAGAGCGTGGACAGGCCATGCTGCAGGAAGGAGATCCTGCTCAGTCTGTCATGCTCAAATTGAGGTTAGCACCTGTACAAGTGCATCCACATGTCTGACAGCCAAAATCACTTTAGGAAGCAACAAGTGCTGCACAATGCATGGGCTGGGTGAGAGCACCAACACCTTCATACTCAGCAGCCACCACTGCTGCAGTGGTGCCTTTGCAGCTGCACCAGCACAGAAGTCCCTTTCTTTGAAACCCAGTAAAACTGATCCAGGAGCATCTCCTGCATGACCAACCAGTTCCCACCCCTCCTTACTGACAGAAAAGCAACAGATTCTTTGAAAGCAGGAAGCAAACACATCCACACTGCCTGTTCAACCTCGTTAGCATTTGCCAAACATCATTTCAACCCTAACATTATAGAGGTTTAAGAGGTCCATACTGAAAGCCTTTGAACCTTGCAATCAATACAACTGAGCCACTGCACAAAATTCACCATTGATCTGTGTTTCACTTCATTAAATGTTAGTTTTACATGGTTCAAAACACGTCTGCACAAATTGGTTAACAACCTGTGGTTGTATCATCAGCTCTAAATGGCCATGCAAGACTGACTGCAAGGCAAACCCCCCAGTTATTTATTTCCTGCTCTGCAACATCAATTTGGCCAACTCACTTTTAGAAGTCTGTAATGTGTTTAAGCTCAAATATGCTGACAATATTGCTTAATGCTAACCCTTTGGGATTCAAGACAAGGCAACATCACATCCAGCTCTCCCCAGTGCACGCTCACCCATAGGTACTGCAAAGGGGCAATGCTGCAAATGCAGATTAATTACCTCCCTGAGAATACCATACCAACTGCCTTTCAGCCATCTCCCCCATGTTAAGGAACAAAGACAGTACAAATACAGGAACAGGTTGGTACCAAGAGGCTGAAAACAGTTACAGGAGGTGTGTGTGCGTTGCAACTCACCACAGGTGACACAAGCTTCAGAGAAAAAGAGAGCATGAGCAGTAAAACTTAAACCTTCTTTGCACACTGCTGCTGCTTGAGCTCAGCCCTGCCCAAGCTGCCCACCCCAAGGAGGCACTTGAAAATTCTTCAAACTTCAAATATAGATTATTTTAGAACAAAAGCAGCTCCTCTGGGGCAAGCAGGCACAAGTGCTGCAGCAAGTGCCATTGATTCTTTAAAGACCTTAAGATACTGTAGTGGACTAAGCCATATAGATCTATAGCAGTATTAACATGGAGGCTCAGCAAATCAATAGTCAATTCTGCTTTTTGGCTTCTCTTTCTTGATACACAGAGTTCAGTGTGAAACAAAATCTTGATTCCTGCCACACCAGGATGGCTGAGAGCATCTATTGTGACCTCAGTCCACAGGCAACGCTCTGCACAGGATAAACTATGAGGACTGATAGCAAACCATCACTCTCCTACCACTACCAAAACCACTGTTACTTATCTTCTGGAAGAGTTTAATATTTCAGTGCAAATAGGTTTATGTACTAGTATTTACTCATTTCTATGGCCTTGAGTCACCAACCTCTACATTTTTACTCCCCCAGCTAGTAATCAAGAAAAAGACTGTACATTCATAACCGAGGGGGAAAAAAAAGTTTCATATCAGCACGATTCCTTTGTGTTCTGGTAAAAGGTTGGACTCTCCTCTTTATTCTCATCTCCTGTAATCCATTAAACCCTCAGCCACAATAAAATTAATAGTGAGCCTTTGAGTAGATAAAAACCTCTTTATACAAAAACTGATATACTGCACAAACCAGCAGATAAGAATCAGCGTTCTTTAAAATTAAAATATATGCATTTCTGAAGCGTATCAGCTGCTGAGGAACTTTGTCACCCTCCACTTGCACTTGTCAGCCCCAGGTAGGGGCATCCTTGCTGACCCCCCCAGCTGGGAGCTGCTTTTGCAAATAGAAAGCTACTCAAGCATTTAGAACTGCTACTCACTTTTGCTTCTGCCAAGAGCTGAGGTGACAGTCCAGCAAACTGGAGCAGTGACAACGCCTGGGTGTAGTGCTCCTCTCCTGGGTGTACTTCTCTCCATGCAGCACTGTGGCTTCCATCAGAGGAAGCTTTCCTGTGTAAGAATGGATGTCAGAGAATGAGGCCAGGTTTACAGCAGCTTTCCTGCTCACAAGGTAAATAATGAGACCCTGCAAAAACCACACAGAAGGGTAGGGTTTACGCTGGTACTACATATTGTAGCTGTGAACTGCCCAATGCCAAAGTCTCCCAGGTGCCATTTCTGAGGTGTTACACTTCAGTTGCAATTAATTCCCCCACAAATTCACATTGCTAAGTTTCAGCAACCTTTTCTGGCTGCTACAAGCTCCATGGCCAGGAGGGGGACACACGAACAGAGGTTCAGGTTCAGAGGGCTGCACTGCACACAGTGGTCAAAACCTCCTACACAATTACATCACAGGGAGTTTCACAGCACCCACTGAACTGGCATGACAAAGGCCTTCAGAGACCTCTCCTTTGTGCATTATTTCTCTCCATATCCCAGTTTTGCTTTGAGCTGACAGCAAAGGCTGGGAAGTGGTCCCTTTGTCTTACAGCTGAAGCAAACACAACACTTTTCTTGTCACCATCTGCAGGATAAATGGTATTTCTGTGACAACCTGAAATTCAAACAGAAAATAAACAGGTACTCCTACAGGATAAAAGGAGTGGAGAGCTGCTCTGGCCACAGATCAGCACCACTCTGCTCTGTCAATTTGCTTGGCACACCCACAAAACCAACTCCAGCATGGAGGCAGGAAAGGAGAAGGACTGAAATCAGCTCTCATCTGCAAAGTTTTACTCCTCTGAGCATCAACAAAACGCAGATGCTCTTTTCTCTGAGTGAAGACCATTCCACACCTGGAAAACTCAAGTCGGGAAGAGAGACCAGAGGGTAAAGGGGAGAAATCTGTCTGCACAATAAAGTGCTGCGCTTTGCAAACTGAGCTGTACACCTTTAATCAGCAGTAAAATCTGCAAACTAAATGTGTCTCTCAAATAGATGAAGGCATTTCTTCATGCAAATAAATATTTCGCACACACTTAAACCTCGCAACAAAACAAAACCCGGGCATCTATTAGAATTTCTAATATATATCAGAAAATCACAGCATGGTTTGGGTTGGAAAGGACCTTAAGATCATCCAGTTTCAACCCCCTGTCATGGGGAGGGAACGCCTCACCCTAGACCATGTTGTCCAAGGCTCTGTCCAGCCTGGCCTTGAACACTGCCAGGCACGGAGCATTTACCACTTCTTTGGGCAACCTGTGCCAGTGCCTCAGCACCCTCACAGTAAAGAACTTCTTCCTTATATCTAACCTGAAATTCAGTTTGAACCCATCACCCCTTGTCCTCTCACTAAAGCCCCTGATGAAGAGTCCCTCTGCAGCATCCTTGTAGCCCCCTTCAGACACTGGAAGCTGCTCTGAGGTCTCCACGCAGCTTCTCTTTTCCAGGCTGAACAGCCCCAATGTTCTCAGCCTGTCTCCATATACTTGTTAATAATGGTATTACTAAGGCTGCCTGGGATCAGGCTTTCTTTTCAGAAATTATTTTGAAGGATGATGAATGAATTCAGAAGCAGATTGGAGGGATCTTGCCTAAGGAGGAGAGTTCAAAAAACAGACGCCAAGCAGCGTCCCAAGGAAAGGCCATCAGGCACTTGCAAATACCTCCCAATGACACCATAGCAAATTACACCACGTAACATACTGAGACAAACGCTAAGCTAAGACCAAATAAAGTGTGCATTTTAGCACCAGGCTCCACAAACCTGGAGTAAACCCCGTGCAGACTTGCCTCTCTCTACTATCAGTTTACAAAGCACCACCATGGAGCAGGTTCACAGGTTTATCCTTCAAGGCACACACTTAAAGACAGCACACCTAAGTCTGGCAGAATCATAGAACCAACTAGCAGGAAGCTTCAGCAAAGCATCCAGTGAATCACAGGCCAATCGGAAATTAAGGTCTCATGAGCAGAAGAACACCTTGCCCAGACTGGTAACTGTAAAACCATTCCCTCTGTCATATAAAACTACCCGTGTTCTGCCTCCACTCCCTCCCTGAGCTGTTCTGAGCTGCATTAATTAGTTACACTGGAGGAAACAGAAATGGGAGATATCTGATAGATCCTGTAAATTCCCTGAAGCCCTTTGAAAATCTAACCTTCAAAATGAGGAAAGCCTCTTTTTAAACTCCTTTAACCTGATTTTTAATTGCAAAGTGTACACCACTGCACTCCACCACAGACTTTTTTGTTACAACATAGCTGTATTTTGTTGTAATTCAACTAAAATTGTACAGTTTGTCAAGTACCATAGCCATATCCCTTTGATAAATACCTAATTGTTCTACTAAGCTCTACTATTGTCATTTATGAGCAAGAGCACCTGCAAAGCACAACTGCTTTTGATCACAACAATTAGATTTCTACTGTTTACAGACCAAATTTTCCTAGGAGAGACACAGGGGAAAACTCCGCTTACTGCTGAGGTACATCAAATGGCATTAGTTCAGGAGCCTACCTAGCGCATTTATCTTCTCTTGGAACAGCTTTGTCACCTCCTTTCAACACACATTATCATTGCTACCACGGTTTCAGGTTTACAATCACTGGTTCCCTCCCCAAGCCTCAGGCCAGTCCCAGCAGCTGCTAAGGATGGGGACCTACCAACCATCACCAGTGATGGACAGGTCGTTTCCACCAACTGTAGTAAATGTGGCTTCAAGGTAAAACGAGCTTCAGGTGTTTTCCCCACAAGAAAAATCTTGCAAGGTGAAATCGAGTTTTAAACCTTTTTAATGACTAAATGTGACAGTTTCCATGTAATTTACTTACCCCTTAGCAAATCACAACAGACACACCAAAAGGAGAATAGAAAATGCATCACTGAGGTAATTTTACAGTCATCTATGCCCATGAAATCCCAGATAACAGGATTGTGTCTGTAAAGCAGCAACAGAAGCGTGAACAGAACCGGGTCCTGTTTTCTAAAGGAGTGTCTGCCCAGCTAAACCAGCACTGCCTTTGGTCATGGGCACAAACACTGGATGGATCTCTCGGGTAGCCAAATACAGAATAAACCCCAGGTTCTGTGGGCAGTTCCAGTTCAGCTGAGCCTCCAGCACTGCAGTTACATTTCTCCTGCCCTTTGGTCACCTTTATTTCCCTGTAAAGAATGGAAACTCACAGGGCACATCTGAAGACACCAAGCCATAGAGCTATTCTGCATGGATTATATGGCTCACTTCTAACACCAGCCCTTAGTTTATGGCCTTTTAGCTCCTCCTGTTCAGGCCACCAGAATTCAGAGCCTAATAATGTGTGAAATGGGAATTACGCATGTGGTTAAAGGCAGTTCAGTCGGAGACCTTTTAGGGAATATATTTTATCACTCCTAGGAAAAAATCCCTACAGTCTGCCTAATAATCCCTCCCCATCCAAACGAAGAGCACAGGATGATCAGCCTAAGTATCCTCCCCTCTCGCAATCCCTCCGATTCATGGATTTTGCTGTTCACATAGTTTCTGAAAAAGGCAAAGAGCTAAACTACAGCGAATCTGACTGAAAAGGCATTCTTTTATAACGTGCACTTAAGAAGTTCTCCTCGGTCTTCGGCACCAGCTGCACACACGCACGGTAAGCAGGGGAACAAGTTATTTATGTAGACACCATCTCACCCAAGGAAAGCCTTTTCCCTCTGGGACACAAGGGGAAACCGCCAAATTCAAACCCAGGGCTCACCTCAGACTCACTCAGCTGAGGGGGAAAAGGGGAGAGGGCAGTTTGGGGAGGGAGGAGGAGGCTATGCCCGCAACACAGGGCAGGCACCGTGCCCTCCGTGCCTGCCTTTATATATAAAGTAATATATATTATATATATAATATCTAGAGAATCCATATATTTATATACAAACACATGCATGCTGAGCAGTACCTGCTCCGGGCGCTGCCGTCCAGGCGCCTCCCGCTCCCTGAGGAGAGGCGGGGCTGACCCCAGCCGGTTCCAGCCGGTTCCGGCAGCCCCGCCCCTCCGCGTCGTCACCGGCACCTGAGGGGAGCCCGGATGGGAACACACAAAATGGCGGCCAGCGGGGAGGGGAAGGGAAGGGGAGTCCTGTAAGAAACAGCGTTGAGAGACCGGAGGGCAGAGGAGCAAGGAGCCACCGCAGCCCTGCTGCCCTCGCCAGTGCTGAGGTACAGAGCGCGAGAGATATGCGGAGCGTGGCTATATCAGAGCTGGCACATGGAATCGTGTTATGGTTTGGGTTGAAGGGATCTTAAAGCTCCTCCAGCTCCAATCCCCTGCCACGGGCAGGGACCCCTTCCACTAGAGCAGCTTGCTCCAAGCCCCTGTGTCCAACCTGGTCTTGAACACTGCCAGGGATGGGGCAGCCACAGCTTCTCTGGGCACCCTGGGCCAGCGCCTCAGCACCCTCACAGGGAAGAGCTTCTGCCTAAGAGCTCAGCTCAGTCTCCCCTCGGGCAGGTTCAAGCCATTCCCCTTGGCCTGTCCCTACCTGCCCTTGTCCCAAGCCCCTCTCCAGCTTTCCTGCAGCCCCTTCAGGCACTGGAGCTGCTCTCAGGTCTCCCCTTCAGGAGCCTTCTCTTCTCCAGGCTGCCCCAGCCCAGCTCTCTCAGCCTGGCTCCAGAGCAGAGCTGCTCCAGCCCTCGCAGCATCTCCATGGCCTCCTCTGGCCTCGCTCCAGCAGCTCCACGTCCCTCTTGTGCTGCTGCCCCGGAGCTGGATCAGAGCTGCAGGGGGGGGGTGTCTTCCAGAGCAGAGGGGGAGAATCCCCTCCCTGGGCTGCTGCTCACATCAGGGTAGGTGCCACAGTGACAGGCAGGGTCACAGTCACCATCCCTACAGGCGCCCTGCCATGGTCAGCTGGTCCCAAGGCCATGAAACCTCCACCCCACAGCACTGACCGGGCAAGCAAGAGGCCTCAGGACCCGCTGGCAGCTCCCTGGGATGGAGACATGGGCAGGAACGAGCCATTCGGTCCCTTCGTCAACAGCACAGAACCAAAACAGAGGAGGAAATGTTCACCCCACGCATGAGCAGT